CTTTTTCATGTCATGTCAAGAGTTGGATGTCAACACCACTCAACGCAAACAAGTGTGACAAGCAAACATTCACTCATCTTTTCAAATATTCAGTTACAAAGCTAGTAGCAAGCTAAGTTAACATTACATAGCTGATGCTGAGCTAAACATGTTTGCTAACCGTCCATATGCGTTAATGTGACTGACCTCTCCGGGTGAGTTTTCAAGTGCCTGATGACATTTGACGTTGTTGCACCAGCATCCTCGATTTTAATATTGCAGACTTTGCAGTGTGCGCTCCTTCTGTTGGTGCCGCCGGCGTTTTGTTCGAAGTTGTTATAGTTGAACCTAATTACAAGCGGTACAGCTGCAGGTGTGCCGCCGGTCGCCATGGTGTTACCATGATGTTAATGTTAATGTTAAAGGTGGGGTAGGTAAGTTTGAGAAACCGGCTCGAGATACACTTTTGTTATATTCCATGGAATGCTCTTAACATCCCGATAGCCGGCCCGGCTAAAGTAACTGGATGGCCTACCTGCCTGTCAGCCTCCCATCGGGGCACAAACTTATCTCGTGCCCTCATTGGTCATGTGCGCGTTCGTGTGTGTTGGAGGAGGGGCTCTGTGAGGAAGTGGCAGATTTTCTCCGGTTGTGTATTTTCAAATTTTAGCGATCTCGAGCCGGTTTCTCAAACTTACCTACCCCACCTTTAATACGCCAAAAATAGAAAACACAATGATTGTTCCCGAGTCCCAAAACACGAGTCCAAGTCGAGTCCGAAGTCTTTTGAGCAGGAGTCCAAGTCAAGTCTGAAATCTCTGTGTGTGCGACTTAAGTGCGAATCGAGTCCGAGTCACAAACTCGAGTCCCCATCTCTGGCGTGCGTTGAAGCTTGCCGGCGGGCGTGTCTGAAACTCGACCAACAACCAATCACATGAATCTCCCGCCCCGGACACACAAGCTCGTGATTTGATTGGCTGACGCTGCCGTCGAAGCTTCAAAAGTTGAACATTGCTCTACTTTTGAAGCGAGCAACGCGAGCAAAGCGAAGCCACGGAACCACAATGCAGTTCGGCAAAGCGTGACGTCACCCCATTCAAAGTGAATGGGAAGAAGCGTTGGAGCTTCAATTCACGCCGCCGTGTGGGCGGGCCGTTAACAACTCCAGGAGTTTCAAAGGTCACCGCGACTGTGTGCACACAGGTGAGGGAAGATGGAGCAATGCTGAGGCTTATTACCTTTTCATTAAACAAAGTGTTGGGCCTTGAAGGAAAAAGAGGCATGCTGTTAGAACAAGAGGTAACAGTTTAAAAAGGTTTAACTCTGGCACCAGTAATGTGTGGAGTGTCTCTTAAAAAATATGGGTACCACTTTACAATAAGACTACCCTTATAAAGGGTTTACGAATAGTTTGTAATTGATTTATTAATTAGGTTGTGAACACTTTATAAATAATTAGTTAGTAACTCGTAAATAAATGGTCATAAAGAGATGCCAAGAAACATCAAGATGGAAGGGGGACAATCAACTCAGTGAACAACAGATACCAAGGATGTAGCCAATATAAGGCTTAGTCATCTTGCCAAATAGTGAGCCTCTGTTGATATATGAAAATTATGTTAGAACTGGTTTATAAATGGTTCTTAATGATTAATAATGTGTTTACAACCTAATTAATAACCTAATTATAAACCCTTTATGAATCCTTTATAAGGCTAATCTTATTGTAAAGTGGTACCAAAATATGTTCCCATATAACTGCATTGATAATTATGATTTATGGTGTATATATTTGTACAGCGTGAATGCCTTATATTCTGGTCTTGCACATCATTGAATCCTTTTCTGGCAGGAGGTTCATGGAGTTTTATCAAAAGTTTTTCAGATAGACATTCCATTTAAATTTGAATCTTTATATTTGGGTGCTTCACCATCCGAGTTGGGTGTAACGCGGTACAAAGTAACGCGTTACTGTAATACTATTACTTTTGTCGGTGACGGAGTGGTGTAACGCGCTACTTTTATAATTCAGTAATCACACTACAGTTACTAACATTGCCCCGACACGCGTTACTTCGTTACTTACTAAAATCAGTCATAATCAAACCTCAACTAACACCTGCAAAGAACACATGCTAAGGTGAAGCTAACGCACAGCTATTTGTTGTTTGTTTATATCACGTAGTCTGTTCTTCTTCTCTGTTTTCCGGTTGTTGCCTGTTTTGAATGACGAATACACACTACCGCCTCCTGCTGGTAAGGAGAGTTATTGCCACTCACGCATGCGCAGTTCGTACGTGCTCGGCTGAAGTCTTTGCGGTGTCTGGTTCCAGTGCAACACATGGCCAACACGCAGGAGAACACGCCGACGCAACAGCGTGAGCAGAGATAGACCGCAAAATATACAGATAGCAGGAGAGAGGACAGCCATGGTCAGATAGGAAAACATTCAGGATCTGGATCAGTCTTATGCGACAATGGAAACTGAACTAAAGAGAACATTTTAAACTTTAGCAGTCTGCGTGATCTGCCTGCAGGGAGGGGCGGGCCGGCCCTGCGAGTAAAGTAACGAGTAAAGTAACGAGTAAAGTAACGAGTTACTTTATGTAGAGAGTAACGAAGTAGTGTAATACATTACTTTTTTTTTTAAAGTAATATGAAATATGTAATATATTACTTTTTTTTTAGTAACGACCCCATCTCTGTTCACCATCAGAAAATGTTTCTGTGCTGCTAGCAAGAAAGCCATTTTGATGTAAAAACCAGGAAACCTACTGTGGGAAAGTGGATGGACATCTTATGATAGTTTTAAGATGGAAAGGATTATTCTTGCTTTACTATTGCAACAGGAAATGTACTTGAAAAGATGGATAATGTTTGCCCCCTTGATTGAGTATCATTGAGGTACACTCCGATCACCTTGTTCATGTTCATACTTTATTTGATGGCATGTTTAAAGGTCAGTCCTGCCTCTGTATTGTCCGCAGAATAAGTAATACATTAAGTTGTGCTTTCATTGTAACTACAGAAGGCTAAAAGAGAATATTGGTATTGTCGATGATTGTAAATGTCGGAGTGGCAGTGTTCTATTGGCCTGAAATCCAAAAATGTGCATGTTTTAATTATTTATTCAAGTTTGGTTTTTAATGGAGTGATTGTTGCATGACAACCTTTTTTTACCTTTGAATCTTGTTTGTTTATTTCTTGGGATTGACATTTATTGGCATTATTGAAACCGGCTGCGTCTGACTGGACAAACCCCCCATGGCGCATCATTGGCCGATAGTGAACGGTATTTTGCTTTTAAGCAATCAGAGGAAGCAGGAGGAAAAAGACAGGAAGAGGTGCAAGGAGAGGAACGAACGAGAAAACGGAGGAACAAAGGAAGAGAAAGGAAAGCGGAAACCAGGAAGCAGAGCAGAGGAAAGACGGCAGAGACGCTGGGAGCAATCGGATTGGGGGAGACCACATACAACGCTTGAAAACAGCTAAGTAAAGGGAAGTCACCCGGCAAACCCAGCTGTTTGTCTGTGTGGTGTTATTGCTGTTGAGCGTCTGTGTCTGCGCCACTGAGGGCTTTGTCTGTCTCTCACCCCCGCTGCATCAGTGTTGCAGAGTGGAGGAGTGACGAGAGGCGGAGCCTAGGAGAAACGCCGAGGAGGACGAGGCAGCGAGTCCTGACGGATTGACTCGGGGACAAGCCCCTCCCCCCCGTGTGGGATATTACTGGACTCTGCCATTGACAGTATTCTTACCCTTTATCTGAAGTCTGCTGCTCTGACCGTGTCAGCTGGAGCGATGACATCATCGTGTTCCATGACACAGGTGTTTCTATTTCAGCTAACGAGGCGTCCAGAGATCACAGGTTTCCATTGTTCTGAATGAGAGATAAACCTCTTACATGTGAACGTTTTGTGGAAGAACCGTAACAGATATCTGTGACATTTCAAAATGTGAAGCATGTCAAGGAAGTTGAGTATCTGAAGTGTAATTTTTGTGTAGTTTCGGGTTAATAATGTGGCCTTTTTGGCAGTTTAACTAAAGGTGTGCGGTTGCTACCGTGAGGAAATATCTGCCTGAAATTACAATGGGCTTCAATGGAGGAATGTTGAACGTTTTTGTCACTTCATGCCCTCAAGAGGCCTTTTGTTGAATTATTTTGCTTAATTATTTGTCATTTTTCAAGCTATGAGATGTTTTCCTACGTTTGTCATGAACAATGATGTCTCAGGAATGTAGGGTTTGGGAATTATGGCAGTTTTACATTTCAAGATGTTCTACCCTCTAGCTGTGACATCACGCACTCTAGTTAATGTTAAAATCTGAAGAAAACCTCTATAACAAGGTCTGAACAAATGTTAATATCTCTAAAAGTAAGAATCAGATTTAAAAGTGGTTTTAAACGAATAATGTCAGAAAGATGTGTAACATTTTAAAATTGGAATGAGGTTTCTGAGTGAAAGTATGAATGAACAGTTAGCAGTTGAATTCGCATGAAGATTTGTTGAAGTCTGAAGATTTCCTCCATTGACTTCAATGGTTAAAATGGGATGTATTATGGGATGGATCTCTGGAATTATGAAAGTTATGAATGAGAAAAGTAATAGCCATCGATTCCCGACCGAGCTGAACGTTTTGATGTTTGAACAGAGTTTCTGCGATGTTCAATGCGGGAGGAGAAGAGGGCCAAAATACCGGCGGAATAATACACTTTTTGTCCGTAGAATAACATTTAGTGGGAATGCTGTTAACAGCATTCCCACTAAATTAAGCAGAATACACATGTATTTAGGATAATGCTAGATAGCAGATAGACACTGTCAAATAAAACATTTGTCCTGGCATGAAATACAGGTTATTTTTGCTACCACAATATACACACACACACACACACACACAAACGCACAGACACACACACAAACGCACAGACACACACTGGTGCCGGACGTCTCGGTTCCATACAGTGTTTGTGACAGTGACATGACAGCATTCTTTTATAACTCCCTTATTTCCCCCTCCAGTGACAGCAGGGGAATGGAGAGAGCTGCAGGAATCGTGGAGAGGAATCCCTGTCTCGCTGCCCTGAGGCTTCCCCTCCCTCATGTCAAGAGAGATAACCACCAGCACCTCATGGAGAGATGGAAAGAGAGACAAAGAGAGAAAAACAGACGGACAAAAAGTGAAACTGAAAAAGAAAGTTGCCATCTAGGGAGGATGAATTATGTCATTTTTTCAAGGTAAGATATCATTCCCCAAATGTCATTTTCTTCTCCTAAAATGAATCAAAATGTGTGATTTTATTAGACAGAAAAAGGACCTATGAAGATGTCAGAATTGTGTTTGCATCGGTCCTTTGTGGTGCTGCGACAGTTCTCTTTTTGAATAGCTGTCATCGTGTCCTTGACTTTGTATGTAGAAATCCATCCCCTGCTCTGTACATGAAACTGTATTCTGTTAAGAGGATGAGAAACTGTAATGAGGGAATGCAATAGTAGTAGTAAACAAATGTACCTGGTGATGTTTGCAAAGAGAAGACATTACCCTGGAACCTTTGAAAGGGATATTTTGTGAGTCTTTAATGTGGAATTGTTTTTGATCCTTCTGACATTCCTCTGCTATGTTACAACTGTTTTATGTGCTTGGGTGGTGAGAAAAAGAAGCTGATCCATATTATTTTCAGTTAACACAAATAATTAGCGGTTAAAAAAAGCATGCCCTAAATGAACACCATGACCTAAATTGCTAGGAGAGTTTATTTAGCCAAAATGTAAGATACGTTGATAGAATTGTACATCAATTGTAAAAAGCATTACTGCTGCTAAACATTTGCTGTTATTTGTATTGCTGTAATAATCAAACTATGTTTGACCTAATGTCCCTCAGCTCAAAGGCTCCGTCTGAATATCACATGGAATACCAGGAACTGTCCTTTCACTTTGCCCCTGTCCTCATTGACAAACAGCAAACGGGTCAATAACCCATCATTATAAAGCCTCACACTTCGCTGGCTGCAAATTGACTGCCTGAAGGATTAAGGAGAAAGGCGATGATGCCAACGCTGGAGATGAGACAACATTGCTCATCTTCTCAAACTACTAAAAAAAAAACAGTTTCTTTGAAAATACTGCAGCTTGGCTGAGAAAGAGAAGGCAGCGTGACAGGACATCATTCTGTCACCGGGGTATTGTTGGAGAAACGGGAGGGCAAATACGGACTTGGATCAATGTCCTGTCAATTCACAATACAAAGAAAAGGAACAAGGGGTCAAAGTCACATATTGGACAAAGTCATTTGGAATTGTGAGTTTAGATTGTCTTCAATAAGATTGTTGAGTGAAACTGGACTTTTTCTAGAATTGGTTGGATATTTTGCAAGTTGTAAAAGGCATATTTCATATTTTTTTCATACCCTTCGGCACTTGAAATAGTACCACTACTATTAATGCACTATTATCGCAAGGTCGTATATCTTGTCTTTTTGGTATTAAAGCAAAATATGAGGGTGTAGCTTCAAAAATGGTTCAAGAGGCTTTTTGTTGAGAAATACATTGAATATTTGCCTTAGGGGAGAGTTCTGCATCAGGGAGTCTGTGACACCTGGGGGCCCCAGAGTTAGTGCAGGGGGTCGCCACTCTTTTCTTTTCTTAATTTACAGAACATTGATGAAAGTGAACTAGCTAACCAACTGCATATACAAATACTGTGTTCAATTCATCAATAAATCAATTGAGCGATTAAATACGATTATATTGTCAGCATTGCTCATTGTGAACAACTAAATACGGACACATTGACCATATAAGTCTTTTAAGTTGTTTAAGACACAGTTAAATAATATGATTGCAAACATCAGAATATAGTGTGAGCTGATCCCTTATTGAAATGCCACCACTATGGTTCCACATGTGTTCAGAATAACCAACATGATGTCTATGAAATCATGCAATGAAGAGGCATCACCACACAGTCAACAACAGCAGACAGTTTACTGAGGATTTTTATGAAAATAAATCATGTATTTTTCTTTCTTTCCACAAGTCCCAAGAAAAGAAGCTGATGTGAGGTTGAAGAAGACACACAAAAAGAAGCAGAAATATTTAATTTGAAGGGAAAAGAAAAGCAATGTCCATCACCGTGGCTCTAATGCAGCAGCATTTCCCCGGGGAAATGAGGGAGTGGCAGCGGTTGGAGGGGGACGGGAGCTGTTCCTGATTGGCTGATAGAGTTTTATTATCTCTGAGTCCAAAACAAGGAGCTGGCTGGCTGGCCGCTCGGCAGCACAGGGCTGATGGGGCTAATGGAATCCGAACGCTGGGCCTCATCTCTCAGCTGTGATGGCTCTGACAGGCCCTGATGGATCGCTGGGGCTGAAGCTCCCTGACAGTCACGCTCGGCTGATGAATTGTGAAATGAGACAGACATACAAAAGCTGTGTGCAGCCCAGACCTGGACTCAGCCCCCCCCCCCCCCCCTCCTCCCTCCTCCCCTCGGTCAACCGGTATCTCTGTATGACAGTGAGCGCCATGACCCTGGCATCCATCTTCACCCTGACTTGTTGCTGGGTTCTGTGTGTGTCTCTGCTGGGTGCCATGGAGACACAGCATCCAGTCTTTGGATCAGAGTTAATGTTAATGATGGACCGTTGACTTCTCCTGACATTTCGCCTGAATGTAGCACTGGCAGTATATAATGTACTATAAGAATGGTATGATCGACTTCACATCACCCTCACATCTGAACCAGAGAGGCTTTAACACGACATGTGAGAACTGTTACAGGAAACTGAGACGCTAGAGGAGATCATCTCACCTTTAGAAAGTGCACAGTAATGTACATTTTAGGCCTACATTTTGCCCTCAAAAAACTGAAACTTTGACTTTAATTAAATATATTATGTCCATTCATTTCACATTACTGTATTAGGTTAGTTGAAAGCAAAACAAATCAGGTTTAACTTAATATTATTGCTTTCAACGAACCTAATACAGTTGTGGGAAATGTGTTCAATTAAAGTCAACGTTTCATTTTGTTCAGTGCGGATAGAGATCAAGCAGCTCTCCCCTCTTGTAAAACAGAATGAGAGAGGAACTGGAAAGGGCTACAACGTACTACTTATTAAAAAAGAAAAAAACCAGGCCGAGGGTGATAGTCCACCAGAGGGCTGTCTGCAGCTATAATTACAGAGTCTCCCATCGTAATCATAAAAAAGGCATCACTTAACAGTTTATGGTGTTGCTTTTATTAAACCAATCTGAGCAGATGGCAGTTGAAGGATCCTGGATATGTTTTCTGGGCTGAGGGCCGAGGATTAATGGGAATAAGAGAGCTCGGGGGTGTCAAGAAAACTGCTGCCAGTGGATATCAAATGAGTTATTACATGTTTATATGAAGGCATATTTATTTATGTTTAATTATGCTTCCTTTCCCTTCCTGCTTCCTTCCTCTCTCTCTCTGTCTGGGTGTATCTCTTCACTGCCACCTTTGGGTGTTAATGAAATTATAAAGTTTTGTGAGGAATTTAGGCAAAACCACAAAATAATGCTACTCCCTGTTCACACGTCGTGAAGTTTGCTGACGCTAGACCGCCCTCCTCCTGATCACCGACGGCGACGAGACGCTGACAGAGGAGGTCAGAACCCTGATATCTTGGTGCCAGGAGAACAACCTCCATCTCAACGTCAGCAAAACCAAGGAGCTGATAGTCCTAAACAGGACAGTTTAGGACAGATTTTAGTTTCTTATATTTATTGTTTTATGTCTTGTAATGCACTGTTGAGGAACCTGCCATCTAAGTGTTTCATACATTACATAACTACACCGTAGTTGTGTAATATGTTATGACAATAACCTTTGAATCGTGAACAAAAAGGCTTTTCCTTCTGAGTGTTAACCCATTAGCTCCTAAATAATTGAGTTTTCAGTGTTCAGGACAGAGCAGACCTCAATGTCCTTGAGCTTTGATTGATTACATCAATGGCCTTATGTGTGATTTATGAGTCTTTGATAATGATCTGTTATCCCCTACAGGTTGGTATCAGAGAGCACAGAGATAGAAGTAAACAGTTCTTAAGAATAATCAATGCACTCAATATAACCCACCTTCCAAACATTCAAGCTGTATGAACCTTTCGTGAAGTGAATCCAACACTGGGAAGAAGATATGTTTTGAAGTTTGATTTTCACCTTGCTTTGCCATACAGTCTGAAGTTAAAGTGTGCTGAAATAAAACAGAATCCATTTCAAAAGTAAACTGAACGTTAGCTCACACACAGCACTTTGGAATAAAGTCAAACCACTTATGAAATACCTTTCACCTGGCTGTTCTTGGCTGCACGTGGATGGATGGTACATGTTTTAGGAGTAAGTCAAATTAATAAAAGGGATTTATTTACAATGAATGTGCATGCAACTATGTTTTATAGGGCCAATGAAAGTTAACCACACTGACATATTTCACAGTTTGTTGCTCAAAGCTTGATTTGTAATATTTAAAAATATCTAGGGTGAACAAAAATGATTTGCACTTAAATATTTGATTGATCAAACTCCTGAGTAATCTGTGGCTCAATCCAGTTTTTTTTGATAATGTACATTATATTAAAGTTATTTGGCCACACAATATATGGTGTCATTCCTTTCACATAACTCTAAGCAGTTGTAGCAGCTGTCTAGACTTTGAGTTTCTTTAAAAAGTACTGTACAGAAAAAATATGTTATATTCTGAAGCTCTGTCTATGAAGTATCTTCAAGGTTTCTGATCCACACGAGGTCAATCTGCTCCTAGAAGGTCAAAAGTGACGTTATTTATATAAAAAGAAATGATTAAATGGTAAAGCCACTGAACAAAGGCTCATTGCGCTAAAGAATTAACAAACCATGAGCGATGTGTTAGTCAAAGACACATCATGTAGTCAGGGGCGGACTGGGACTAAAATGCAGCCCTGGAAACTGACCCAGTCCGGCCATATGAAATGTCAAATGTTAGAAATCCGCTGTTTATTATTTAAACTTTTACGTCCGATTCACTCCTTTTTTCCTCTCTGTACACAGCTCCAGTTTGATCATTGGCCTGTCATCAGATTGTATTTGTAGTTGCTGCTGTAGCGGAAGTTTAGTACAATTATTTTTGATGAAATACTCCAAATCTCCACCCTCCATAATTGCACTTGCTTCAGTAGCTTGCTACTTTTTAAGGGTGGTGATACAGTACGAACTGAAGTTGATGCGATTTGATTGGATTGTGAGGCATGACGTGAGCCTCATCTGATTGGTCAATCTCTCAATTTGTTTTCACCAAGGGGCAAGGGAAGACAATTTCGGCTGGCCTCCTCTTGCAACAGAGAGTGCAATCTACTGTTTCACCATAACATCTAGAGGGGCGCTGTTTCACTCTTTGTAAAATACTCAATGAGAATGGGGGAGAGACGGGCCGGCAGAATAATTACCGAAACTAAACTAAGTGTTTTTATTTATTTATTAAAATTATAACTACAATCCAAAAAAACAGGGGAAGCCTGGCTTCCCTTGGCCTCCAGGAGAAAACGCCACTGAGTTCAAGGGATAATTCTCACCCACCTCTTGCTCTTGCCCTGCACTTATACGTGCCAGTTGAGCTGGTTCTTCCAGCAGCTCAACTCTGTCCCTCATCATGAACGCAGGAGGCTGGCTGTATATCTGAACTCGTGCCCTCATCATTCTCTTCATCATCTTGCACTTGTTCTAAGCTGCTGCTGATAGTGCTTGTAGCAGCGCTGCTGCCAAAAAGGTCTGTCAATTTGCGACATTTATATGCTTCACCTGCGAGTGACTTCACCTTTTTGTCTCTTGCCTTCTCGGCCCCACCTTTTTCTTTTCGTTTTCTTTGATTTGTATCCATGTGTTTTCATTCTCCCTGTCTGCCGTGGCGTCTAATCCCTTCTCTTCGTGTGGCCGGTCTTTTTTCTTCTTCGTGTGTTATTGACAGATACGAACCACACAACTGCATTAGCGGCCGCTGTCACCCTCTGTCGGCCGTCAGCGCAACTTAAATGATGACGTTAAACTATTTTTTTTAAAAGGGCCGGCCGGCCGTCAACGGCCCTTGACGACCGGCCGTTCTGTGGTTCTCCAGATTCTACAGATGGCCAGTCCACCCCTGCATGTAGTACAGACAGGAAGGAGCTGCTACACCATGCTAAACAGAAATACAATTCCTTAACATTGAATATCTTCCAGAGGAATTCAGATTCTGCCTTGAATCATGATATTATCTCTAGAGTGAATCTTTTACCTTGAGGTGTCATCCACACTCTGAGCCCACAATATAGAGCAGCTGTGATCTGTGTGAGGACCGAGCAGCCGAGTTGGGTTTAAATGTCAGGAAGTGACTTAAAAAGCATGTGAGTTGTCATTTGCAAACATTTAGGTGTGGGATCCTTGATCTCTCTTGAACTGCTCTTCATCAACATGCCGCCTACATCTGATAAAACATAGCTGTAGATCTTGTTCGCTGTCAGCAAAGTCTTCAGTCAGCTGAGTAAATGAAGACAGAAAATAACTCTGCTTGTGCTGAGGAAAATCTGCATGAAATATAAGGGTGCATGAAGAGAACTGGGAAAGACAGCAGCTTCTGATGACAGTTAAATTATTGCAGTTGAAAGGATGGCCATCTGCATGCGGGCAGGATGCTGTTCACTGTGATCGCCATACCTCATCTGTCAGGTCCCAGCACACTTGCTTAGAGGAGGATATGTATAATGTTGTTCATCTCTGCTTGTCCTATTCTCACTGCAGCCTTCACCTGATCAATGCCGTGTGAAAATAAGGAAGGACAAATCCAGCATTGATATCTGACGAGGCCATGGCAGAGTGATATCTTTGTAAGAGGATTTGTCAGATTGGGTTTCTCACTGTGAGGGCAGGAGAGACAGCAAAGAGACATGCCCTCCATCTGGGCACCGCTAATGAGGATCATCTGCTCTCAAAGAGTCCTGGGACAAGGATGAGGACATTTAATGCCACAGGGGGTAGGGAGAGTTTAAAGGCTCTGAGGGTGAGTCATGCTCGGCACACTCACCTACAAACAAGCCTTCTACTCACCAAGACATATCACAGAGTGTGAGGATATGAATATGAGCCGTACAGTCTGACACCTGTACCGACTGAGCTAACCTTCAGCTGGGATGAAGCTTGGTTTCTGCTTGACTCGTCACTCCACTTTCTCTGCTTCATCTTAATTCTACTGTGTTTCTTCTTGCACTATTTCTATTGTTTGTTTTTTTGCTTTATTGTTGTATGTCTTTCTTGGAGGAGCCTGGGAATTCGGATCTTCATTCCCCTTACTACAATAAAGCCTTTTCAACGTTTAATCTTGAATCTTATTGCATTAAGGTTAGAAGAATGTGAATATTCTGAGAAATTAACTAGAGAATATATTAGCATTGTATATTATTATGTGATTGTATTTTACTGATATACTATGCAACTCAAATGAGGATGAACCTACACCCGACACATTAGCCACTTCTCTTATACTCACGCAGCCTATCGTCTCTAAACTGATGTATGGAAAGATAAATAGTTCCAACCCTATGAAGTGCAGAATGTGCTCTAAACGGCCTGGCTCCGCCCCCCCTCTCTGAGCTGCTACACCCCTGCACCCCACTCACCTCCTCAGGTCAGCTGATCACCTGTTCCTGAATGTGCCCAGAATAAAGTCCAAGCTCAAAGGGTGCCGAGGTCTCGCTGCTGCGGCCCCCAAACGGTGGACCGCTCTGCCCCTCCACATCAGAAATGCTTCTATACTGTCCGATTTTAAATCTCGTCCTAAAACCCCCCTCTTCTCCTTAGCGTTCTGCACTTTGTAGATGTTTTTTTGTATTGCTTTTAAATGGTGTATTGTGTTTTTCCATATGGCTGTTATTTTATTCTTGTTTATTTTGTGTTCTTACCTTTATTTCAAATGTGTTGTAAGCTGAGAGGTTTGATATGTCTCTGTACAGCACAGTCTGGAGGTTTTAAAGTGCTTTATAAATAAAGTTGGGTTGGGTTGGGTTGGATTGGAACTGAAGGTTGCATTAGTTACAGTATGTGATGTCTCTAAGATTGTAAGTGGTACAGTATGGAATTTGTGGTACATTTGTGTCAATTAGGTTTGATAAAACTAAATTATTGCACATATTGTTCTTTTCTGTTTACTTGTTCATTGCTGAATAATGTATTCATAGTTGTTTGCCATCCTATGATGTATGTTATACTAGCACACATCTCAATGCCAACTGTCCTACATCCATCCTCTGTGCTCACACTACACCAAAGGTCTCTGCAGTACAGAAACTCTGGCATCTATACAAAGCAAATGAATGCTGCCTGGAGCTAGGCACTCAACATGACGTTACATAGAAATCACAGGATCAAGGTTCATATGATTGTGTACCTTAGAGTGTGAGCCTCCCAATCCAGAGGGATCAATTCAAGTGTGATGTATAATCTGTCTACGCATAGGAACAAGAAACAAAGAACACTATGGAAACTCTATCGGGTGGTGAGATGATGGTGTGTGGTAGGGGGTGAGGAAAGCTTGGCCTGTGTAGCTCTAATGCCCCTTTCACACCAACACGGTTCCCGTTCTAGCTCCGTGCTAGAGCTTTTCTAGTTCGGAACCGGTTTTTCTTTTCTGCTCCCGTTTTGTTCACACCGCCCAGAGCCCGACTGGTGCTGCTGCTGCTGCATCATGACGTCACCGTTTACGTCGCTGATTTGCTCCCCAACGGCGTTACGCCGCTCACGACAACAACAATGGGGGTCGATGATCGTGTTACTTTCAATCATACGAAGCCAGATTAAATTAAATAACGACTTCTCCAACCTTATACCTGTGCCTTGGTTCATTGTTTATTAATGTGTTTCAGCGGCATTTACAGTACCGACCGCTGCAGTGCTGCTCTTCCACGGGAGTTTATTCTCCCGTTAGCTCCGGGTTAGCTCACACGGCAGCGTCCGCTCTGAAGTATTCACTGTCTGACTGTCACACAAGCAGCTGATACATATCCCCCATCCCCATCAGTGAATGTGTGTCAGTCTGAATTGACGCTGTTTGGCATCACAACGCTGTTATGAAAGTTTCTCTGGTATAAAATGGGTGATGTTAGCATAGCAACCGAAGCTAAACTGACTATCTTGACTACTTGTTGCTATCCTATTGTGGCATAAGCCGTTTTCTAGAGGCATATTTTACCGGCGTATTTTTCATTGTGATTCTACTTGTGATAGTCGGACATAAAAACCTGTGCAGCCCATGTATTGATTCCATCCGATAGCTGCTAAATACTAAACGTCTGCCTGCTCTCCACAATGATCAATAACAGCGAACAGATGGTCAAAGTAAGGTACAAATAAACAGAATTACACGAAGCCTGGTTAGTGTTGCCTGACTTTATAAAGTGTGGTTTTTTTTATAAGTGTGTGGTTGCCTTCTAGTCACTTTGCTCAGCGCTACTGCTTGTTACAACTTTTATTTGCCGTACTCGCCTTTAACTGTTAGCTCAGGTTAATCTCGCCCCCCTCCGACGTAAGCGTGACGTATGCGGTTCTTGCTTCTAGACCGACAATTTGTTGGTGCTTGAAACGAACCGGATTCCGGA